GAGAGTGAACAAAGTATCCGCACACTTTTTCACTCAATATAAAACTTCAAAAAATTTTGCATTAACTATGAAAGGTTAATTAATATTTTATTTAAGATCTAAATTTTGTACTAAGTAACTAGTACTTAGTTGGGCCACCATTTGCTACAATCATGACTTGAATTTATTGTGGCATACTATCGACTAGGTTTTCGATAGTATGCTTTAGAATTTCTTTCTATATCTTTTTAACATATCAGTTAAGAACAGCAAGATTAAATGGAGGTTTTTTATAAGCTCAGATGGTTTTCTTGACTTCAGCTCAAAGATTCTCAATCGGATTAAGATCAGAACTTTGTACTGGTCAAGATAATGTACGAAGATTATTTTCTGCTTGAAAAGACATTGCAACTTTGATTTATGAGGTCGAGCATTATCTTCTTGAAACCAGCCATCATAATTTGAAAAAGATTTTCTCATAGCTGGAATAACATATTTATAAAGAATGATGAAATGTGAATTACCAGTTGCTGTTCCAGATAATGGAACAATTGGCCCTATACTTTTTCTTGAAAAGCAGCCCCAGTACATTCAACTAGGGCTATATTTTACTGTAGCTGTAACACAAGATAAAGTCCATTCATCCTTCAGTTCACGCTAAACCTTACTAGAGCAGCTTTGTTGAAATTGAGAGAATGTGGATTCATCACTTCACAAGACTTTTGACCAATCTACTTTAGTCTAGCTTTGATATTCTAAATACTATTCAAGATGTATTTCAATATTTACTGGTGAAATTAATGGTTTTTTTATTGCAACACAATTTTTTAATCCAGCTGAATGGAAGGTTTGTTTAATCGTCTTGATCGAAACATCTTGCTCAGTCTTTTTCTTTTAAAGCTGTTATATTCCAGCTGCACATAGATGATAATTTTTAGTTTTATCATTTATCACGATTTGTTTAAGGCGATTTCATTATGAAATTGGAATTAAAGACGAATGTTCAGAATGATATATCAATTTGGTTGATCCAGTATTATAATATCAAATAATAGTGTTATGAATAGTTAACACTTCATAGTCAACGGTATTAGCAATAGTCTAATAACTATCACTATATTGATAGCAATAAATTATAGTTTTGTGTTATTTTGCAGTTAATTCTTTAGTTTTTAACATTTTTTTTTATTTAAAGTTTCAGAGAAGAAAATTTATTAAAAAAAAAATTAAAATTATTGTTTTTTATGTTTATAATATAAATAAATACTAATATATCATATGATCACAATTTGTTATTACGGTCATATGACTTTTTTAGCATTAATTTACGTTTATAGAGGGTGTGTGAATACTTTTATCCACCCTCTGTATATTCAAAATTTACAATTTTTTAGTAATTGCTAAATAAGAACATATTACTGTTATCTCAGTTATCTATCAAGAAATAGAAGAGGATCTATAGATTCTGAAAGAAAAGTTAAGAGGAGTAGTTTATCAAGCAATTTCGTTAGCAATAAATTTTTATACTCAAAGTTCAGAATATTAACAAAAATTCCTTGAAATACCTCTTCAGATAAGTCCTTATGAAACAAACCTTAAAAAATATTCATTAGATAAAATGATGATTTGTTATAACTTTAGTATTTTCTAAATCATGAACATAATAGTTTAGACATTCTAATAACCTGCAATTAAGGGATAACTATTTTTTTCGAATATATAGAAGGTGAATATACTGTAGCATTATGTTTTATTCATATATGGTTATTATTGTATTATGCAAAAGTTATCATTGACGTAAAGACCTTACAAAGACAATAATTTTTTTTATAACAGCTAATAGTATGCACTCATTAATTTAAAAGATGATTTTGTTTATGAAAATAATAATTCAATCTATCATTACCATAGTTTAATGTGTTCTTTAAAGGTATCTGTAGCTTACAGAATATTAGAATTATGAAAGCAAATAAAGAGAAATTTCTTACCTTAAAACAAATTGATGCAAATTTGAATAATATAAGATCAAAACTTTCAGTAAGCATTTGCAGATAATGTTCTCAGGATTAAATTCTTTATTAATTAGTTATTCTATTATAAAGGAAACAATCCTCACTTTTTAATGAATTAATACTTAAATTAAGATCGATTACTACTTCTAATCTTTTATGGAAAGACCCACTTACTAGTAAAATTATTAGTGATAATTTAGGTTTAGTTTAAAACCTTTCACAGAAAATACAAAATATTTTTTTAGTAAGTACTTTATAATTTTTAAGAATTATAGCAATCTAGTTTCTAATTTAGCTCTCTTTACCATGTTAAATGATATCTTTAAATTTAGCAATAATTCAAGAAACATGTAGAATATTTATAGTAAACTTCAATGAATATTGAATAGAAAGTTTACCTGATAAACTAAAGCATAATAGTTCTTAAAAAGAGTCTGTAGAGATACTTGCTAGAATTATGACTAATATTCTTGATACATTATAAATAATAACAAGGAAAAATATTACTATGTGTATTTTACTAATTCATTATTAATAGAAGCAATATCTAGAATAATCTGATGTTTAAATCAGATTTTGAAGATTAGCTTAATAAAGGTACTTATGTAACAAATGTGATAATATCAGCAATCTGATCTGTTTTGAAAAATCTTTCTTTTAGGAAGATTGCATTCATTAATACATCAGAATGACAAAGTCTTATCAGTATTGATAAAAAGGATGATAGTCAAATAGAAAGATAACCAGACATAATGTTTGAGTTTAAAAATAATAAAAAAGATTATAAACTTATATTTGTCAAATGCTCGCGATTATCTTATACTAAATGAAAAGAATTGAATGATATAGTAAAATTATGGTGAAAGACTAATGATGGATTATACTAGACTCAAAAAGGATGTAAACTGGAGAAGGAGCAATTTGGGATCATTAGAATTCAAGTTGCTAATAAAATAATTTTCTTATATTTTTATGATCTATATTTCATAAGATTTTTTTAATAATACAAAACTTTGTAGAATAAAAAATACATTTAAATGTTATCACAAGAGATGAGGATAAGATACATCATTATTATCATTTACACTTAGCTAAGATCCCTATACATCCTATAGAAGAATATGACTTGGCAAATTTTGTAAAGATTTTACTTATTTTATGGATTTGTTATTTATACTGGTTATAAATATTCTTTTAGTCAGAAAAATATTATCTAATGCGATTCTGATTTTTAGAATATTATTATTATCAATATGACTTTATTATATCATATATCTTTATTAATATTATGTAGACAAATGAAAGATAGCTTAACAATTTTATTTTTATAAAAGGAATCATATGTATTTTTTAACTATTTTCAGGCTAAGATCTGATTTTATTTATTATATATTTTAGCAATTTAGTATAGAAATTTCATGTATTTAGATTATGTCTTAATATATATTTATTTTTTATCTTTATATTAATAAAGTTTCTCTAGAATCATGTGGTCTCTTGCAAATTTTTTATTTTTAAATATTAATATACTAATACTACATTATGTAAATATGCAATCTAAAATAGATGAAATTAATTTATTGAAAATATGCACTACTAGACTTGAGTTTGAGAATGATAAAATTAAGGCTGAGAACAATAAAATTATGGTCAAAAATTTTGAGCTTAAGGCTAGAGTTACAAAATTGAAAAATAAGCAATTATAAAATGATTAGTAAAAAATTTATTATCTGTACTGTAAAAATGTGATTATTTATTAATTTAGCAAAATTTCTTCAGCGTTAAAATATCCTTACTAAATAATTTTTTTTGTTGACTATTGACCTAGTATTATATGCATTTTTAATTAGAAGTTTCTAGTAGATCTCTCATGATATTGACATGTAAATTTATATTTTAATGACCTATAGGTGAATTTCTTACATGTAAACTTTTACATAAAATTATACTTAATAAAATGTTCTATTTTAACTATAAATATATTATTAATAGACTTCTCAAAAGTTTTGTCAAGAGAGTGTGTCAGAAACTTTTACACTACTCTTAAGACCCTGTTTTATTAGAATCTATTTCTGAGAAGTTTAAACAAATTGAATCCTATTTGTGATATACATTAGAGGTTTATAAGAACTCATTAAATAAGAAACGCAGAAATATAGCTCAAAAGAAAATATCACAATTTCAAAGTTAGCTAGAATGTAATGTATTTCCAATATTATTGCATATATTCATTATAGATAGTAAGTCTAAACTGATAAAATTACTTATAATCATAAGGAAAAAAGTAATTGTTGAATTATAATGAGCTTAAAATATTAATTCAATATCTGCTTGATTATAATACAAACTTTTGAGAAATTTATGCTAAATATAGAAAAGGAATATAGGGAGCAAGTTAATATAAATAAGAAATTGTGAGGTGAAATTAAAAACCTAAAGTTGCAGGTGTAAGAGATGAAAAAGAGCCGATATCTATAAAATCAGATTTTAATTATTAACTTAAATACTTTTTTCTATGCTTCTGCCTTGCCTCTATCTTCTTTTATCAGTATTGGCAAGTGATCTTGAAATAATCTAATTATGTAATAGATTTATTAATAAATTTATTATATAATCATATATAAAATGATCTTGAAATTTGCTAACACTGCCTTTTACAGGATTAAGAGGAATTAAATTGTAAAATTAAAATATATGTGATATAATAAACAGTGTTTATTTGTTCATCGTAATATGCTAATACAAGATGGAATTGCTAATCCACTAATCTGATATGCCATTAGAAATACCGCAATAGATAGAACGTTTAAGAATTATTTCTATATAATTTTTACATTTTTAACCATATTTATAACTGAAAAATTTATAATGTAAAGTGTCTATTTTGATGTAACACTTCTAAAAGATTATAGTTTTATAGGATTTTATAAACATAGGAAGAGATAACTGAACTTTATTTTCTTTTTTCAAAAGGAGTCGCATAAAATTAAAAAAAATCACACTAACTTAATGAAGAATAATTCAGCTAAAATGAAGAATGTTGCTAAACAGTTAGACGATATTCATAAGGCAAAGCTTTTCAGTTTTTCAAACATATTTTTGCATTGCTGACTGGCTTAAAGAAGGTTGAATAAGATTTTAGTAATCATTCTGTGCATTGGTCACCTACTATCTTGTCCTATTTGTATTACACGTTAAGGTTGAATGACCTCTTTTGCAGAAGAGAACTTGCACAATTAAGAGTAATATTCTACATGCTAACATCTTATGATCTGCATATTCATTGTGTTTGTCTCTGACAATATTTTTTCTCTATGAAAGTAGTTTACTAATTTCAATTATAAAGACATCGTAAATATTTTAGAAATGTTGACATATTCTAAAATCAAATCAAGAAAGATTTTATTTAATAAATTTTCTGTTAAAAACAACTCCTGCTCATGAATTTTTTTCAATTGTAGGTTAGGGTCTCTAGTTCAATTATACAAGATACTACTGAAGTCTTCAAAAATTCTATTGCAAGTATCAATTTTTTCATCAAGAACATTAATAACATAATAGTATAGAATGGAAGTTATTTTTTTATTTCATATATTTAGATTATATAAATTAACACATTTTGTCAGATCAAATACAATAAAAAACTTAAGAGTGATAAAAGTACTTCAAGAAAAAGATGAAATTCTAAAAATTATGAGGAAAATTAAATTTCAAAAAAATGTCATAATAGATATATTATATCACCACCATAATCTAAATCAAAACTAGACAGTGATATTAAAGATTATAAAGAGATTTTAGATTATAAAGTGCAAGTATCTGAAAAAAGATTTCGGTAAAAAGAATTAGTACTTTAATATTTTTCTATTGTTATATCTTTTTTTTGTGCTTACCTAATATTATCCTTCAGATTTTAACTGATTCCATTGTAAGTTAGACTTTATCAATTGAAAAAAATATTAGTGAGATATTATTTGCATATTGAAAAAAAATTTCTCATACAAAGGCATATCTATAATAAGTTACACTTTACAAACATATTTTTAGTACCAACATTCAGATATATTATTGACCAAATGTTGTTTATAGCCTGACTTATTTTGGTATTTTAGATCTTTCTAAAAAAGATGTTGAAGTAAAGGATTTGTTTATAGATGATGAATAGAATGAAATAATAAAGGATTTCGTGAAAAACATTAATTTAAATGATTTGGATGTCAAATAAAAAAAGCCTATCTATAAAATAATAGATGAAATTACAAAGGTTAGAACTAAAATTTATATTATTTATTTTTCATTTAATGTGTTAACTAAGTACAACACTTCTTATATTAGAAATTAAAGAATGAACTATCTGATTTAATAACTGAAATTAAAAGTTATGTAATTAAAGTAATTTTTTACTTGTATTAATTTCTTATAAAATACGGACTCTAATGATCATCATTTATAGAATAATATGAAAGTAAATGCAATTCAGCGCTTAATTTAGATATAGTAAATTCTTTTTTTTACCCACTTATAATATTAGTTTTTGATAGCTGTAAGATCTAATTATTTTAAATCTAATAGCACTTATAATCTACAATGCTTACGTCTGCTGATATTCAAAACTGCATTTGGTAGCAGTTTCATAAGTATAATAATAAAAGGGTATTTATCTTCAACAATATTTATCACTATAAAGAGTAAGTCTACATTGGTTATTTGCTGTTTGTTATATGTTTACGCAATTTATTTATCTATTAATAATTCGCAATGTGTAGAGAAAAGATTTAATCTCTCGCCTCATCAGTAATTTTTAACATGAAAATTAAACCTACTGATAGAAGCTTGATTAGATAGAAGATAGATTTCTGAATAAGTCAAGACCAGTTCAAAATGTTGATAGGATTAAGATCTGGTAATCTTCTCTCAGCAACAAAAAGCAAAAATGGATTGATAAAATGAATCTTTTAGTTGTGTGATGGGATGTATTGATAAATGAAAGAGTAGAAAATAATAAAGTAAAACTGGATAAGTTTCACAATCTCTTTACTCTTAGTATTCATACATTTAGTGTTTAATATCATAATTTTTTTCAGTACATTCTTAATAATTTATTTGATTTTAGATTATAATTATAACGTATACAGATTAAATTAGAAAATAAGAGGCATTTGGTATTTAGGTCTACTTCAGAAGGTCAAGTTACCTTTATCAATTGATAATTTGCTAGTTATAAAGAAACTAATTATATCTTTGATACATGTTAAGGTTAGAAAATCTTTGATTTAGTGATTGTATTTTATTGTTTTGTGAAATTCACATATTCCTTTTTTGATAGAAAACTTTGTATTATATACAGAAAATTCATTACAAAATATTAATTGATAAAGTAAGATTATATTAAACATGATGATTATTATTATGTTCAATGAGTTATTTCATTTATGAATATAATCATATAACTTGTACAAGAAGAGTAAAAGAGTAATTTTAATTTACCATGTAATAATGCTGTTAGCTTTAAGACATTAATTAATAGATTTAATATGCACATTCTGTAGCAAAATAAATGTAAATATTATATTATATAATATATAATATATATTCTGTCATCAGAAAAATAAATATATAATGCATAATTATAAGTTTTTGATGATAGGCTGTCGTCAGAATTTTACTCTGATTTTTATTATATTATATACATCTACTTTTACGAATAAAATGTAAAAATCATTTTCATGACTAGATGCGAGAAAAAAATATATATGTAATGATCACAAATGAATTTTAAAAGTTTTAAGTTTACTCAATAAGATCTAATTCTTGAAGATGCTCTAAAATAACTACATATGGGTTTTCATAATACTAAACATACTTTAGAGTAATACAGTTTTCTTCACATAATTCTTTTTTGAGCTGATCTTATATTTGCTATTTGATAAAATTATTGGAATCACTATTATGAAAGAATTTGATATATTTTTCATATTGTACGTCTTATACTTTAATTGCAAAGTCATATTTTGAGTAATAAATATCAAGTTCTAATCTTGTAGAATATTCTGATATTTTAAGAAAATTAAGTTTGCAGATTAGTAAAGAAGAGTCAAGATATTTTGTTAAAATCTTGTGACATAGCTTTTCTCTTTTATATTTCAGGTAGAATAGGCATCACAAGTTTAAATATTTAACGTTATTAAAAGTAACAAACCATCTATTCTTTTTATCATACATCCATAATAAAGCTGAACAATTATTAATATAATATTTAGAAAGACAAGTTTCCTTTCTATTATAAGCTAATTGTTTGGCATCTTCAAGTATACAAGACCTATTATTTATGCAATATGAACATCACGTCCTATTATTTTTTATATTATTAAAAGATGTATTCCACTCATACCCTTTAGAACAATGTCATGATAAAAGTATAATCACACGTTTTTTTGAAAAGACATTCTCTATTCTTACTAAAAGCAATTTGTTTAGCATCTTTAATTGTATGACTGGCCTTATTTGCATAATACAAACACTATATCTTATTGTTCTTTATATTATTAAGAAATATAGTTTACTCATGACCGTCTATATATCACCATTGCATTAAAATATTAGTATTAACATATTCAGTAGAAAAACAAAGCTCATCATATTTTTCAGCAATTATACAAGCATTATTTATTATTAACTTTCTTATTACAAATAGATGATTCTTTATCAAAAAATTAAAACTTTAATTTTAAGAGTAATAAATCTTTATGATCCTTTTTTGCTTTTCTCGTAACTCTACTTCTTTTTGAAGGTCTAATAGAGTATCAAATCTTAATTGAATTGCTGGTGGATTATTATCTGATTTATTTAGATTAAAAACAATAAATTTACCTTTTTGAAGATAATTATTAATAACCATAGAAGTATTTTTACATCTTCAGTATATTATTCAACGATCTTGAAAATATCTTGATAGAAACTGTTACCATTAAAGACTATTAGATATAAAATATTTTCACAGATAATTATTAGTGTATGATGATAATGTTATATTACATATATACTTAAAATATTTTTATGACGCCTATATATAAAAAATAAAATAATTTGATTTTGGATAGATTTGAGAATCACACATAAATTCTCAAAAACTATCATCATATTTCATTCTGATAAAAATGCTAATACTAGGAATTTTTTCTAGTAATATATAGTTAAATCATATATTTTCATAGTAAAGTGCTTTTGGATCTTTTAAAATTATACCATACATATATCTTATAAATGCCTATTTTGGCTCATCAAAGTGGTAATCACAAACTATCAAATCATCATATACAATATATCTAGAGTCACTTTTCTTACCTTTATATATGCATTTAGCTTTATTGTCAAAAAAAAGATTTGCCAAGATATTAGTCTTATCTGATTCACTCTTCCAAGTGACTAGCATAAAGAAAGGCTATAATAAACTCACTAGATATAATTGAATTTGAGATGATTTGTACTTTGTAGTCTTATCTATATCTATAAGGTAAAGTTTTATAGGAGAAAAATTTGTCTCTTAATTCTTTTACGTATCAGATTAGGAATCTATAACTTTAATTTCTATTTAAGAATATTTTATAATTCAGAAGATTTTTTTTTCATTGAGAGATGAATTAAAAGAATATAGATAAGAGGATATATACCATAGGAAGTATATAATTAGTAATATTATTACTATGAAGAAGACAAAATACTGCTAAAAAAAAGAATCAGATTTCTCATTAGCTAAAGCTTTTCCAGTTTCTGGTATTAAAACAGGTACTACTGAGATATTCGCATTATGAATTCAGATGATTTTAAAACTAATATTACTATTATCTTTCTTCTATTTACTAATATCTGGCTTCTCTTTAGAGTCAACCCCTCTATATACTTTATACTTACTAGATATTTTTTGGATCTTCTTGGCTAAACAAGTATTATTTAGGACTGCTTTTTGAAGAAGGGTGTCTTTTTTATCAATGCATTTTGTGCTATGACTAAATTATCTATTATCTACATTAATTCATCTTTTTTAATTAATATATTTTCTAAATTTTTTTTCAATATTTTTAGTAAATAGTTCTGCATTTCTCAGTTCTTATCTATGCTTAAGAGATTCTATTTCTGATAACTCCTCCTATGTTAAAGAAATATTTTACTTTAAATTCTCTGCTCTAGATTAGAGAAATTCTATTTCTAACAACTCTTCCTATGCTAAAGAAAGATCTCGCTTTAATTCTTCTACTCTAGATTAAAGAGCCTGTATCTTTTCCTTTATTTTAGATTGGAAGGCTTGCATCTTCTTTGATTTTATAGAGAATTTGCTTTTAGCATCTGCAAGAGAAATATTCTTATGAATAATTTGAAGCATAAACTCATTTTTTCTGAATGCAATTGTTTTATCTCTTTTTCAAGTTGATGCATCTAATTGAAAAATTTTTCATTTTCATTTTTGGATTTATTAAAGTTATCTTATATATACTTGTATTCTCTATCTAAAATATCATAGTTATTCGCAAACTGGCTTTTCCAATATATAGCAACTTTACAGTCTTTTTTTACATAAGAAAGTTGTTCTTCAAGATCTATTCGACTGGGAGAATAATAATTAGCTAGAATATTTCTAAATTTATTACCATTATCCAGATCTTTTAAGATACAGATCTGAGGCATTTTATTGATATTTTTTTACTTTAAGCAAAAAATTTCACTGATGGTTATGAGAAAAATCATATGATATTTTTTTGAATGTCTATTGATACTTATTGAAAAAGAATCACTGATAAATACTGAAAAGTATTAATACTCATTCATACTTATTAATATATACTGAAAAAGAATATTAATATGCATTGAAGGATACCAATATATATTGAAAGACATCAATATGTATTAAAAAATACTGATATATATTGAAAAGTATTGATATATAATGAATTACCAAAAATATTGATACATATTAAAAGTATTGAAAAAATTATTGGTAGTTTTTTTTGCATATATAATCTGACTAAAAACAATGATTACCCATCTTCATAAAAAATTTTATCATCTAATGCAATTCAGTTATCAAAATCTGATATTAAAGAGATTAGAGAGTCAAGTGGTAAGATATCTAATGCATCAAAAAATAGTTGAAAAATTCTATATTGATGC